GTGAGGGCTGGGCCGCGTCAGGGACCGACTCAGCGCTGGGGGTGCTGTGAAGAAAATGCCTTTGTAAATCCAACGACTGGGCAAGCGATCTCTGAGGCGGGGGAAGGGGCGGTGGGGGAGCCAGGGAAGAGACCGGTTTCATTATGAAGGTCCTGGTGACAATAACCTTTTGTCCTCTATACAATCTGGGCCTGCCAAGCTGCTCCACAGTCTCTGAGAAAGCACGAGGGTGGGAGAGAAAGGCTCCCTGTCAGGAGGCCACAAACTCATCCCTGATGATGAGACAAGGCTCCCCCGCCCCCCCCCAGAGCAGACATCCTCTCCCACACCTTCCTCCCCACTGCAGACACACCACGGAGGGCTGGCATGAGGCTGCTCTAAGACGAGAGCAAACAATTTTCCTCAGCACAGGAGACCTGGTTCTCTGAGGATCCTCCCACCATCCGCACCCCCAAATCACACGCAGACTCTTAGTGACGAGTGTGAAGCAGCCCAGTTTAATTTGGCTGGCAGTCTAGCAGGTCAGACTGGGAACCAGAAAAGTTAGTACCTCAGCCGGTCCTGAAATGCTTCACCCCGTCCTCTTGTTTAGAGGACTGTCACAGAGACACTGATCCTGGTGGACAGGACCCCCCCTTGCTCCCCTGCTTCACTTCACGTCACGGCTCAAAACTGAGTAATTATGTCTAATCTTACCCTGAAGAAAAATGGACCGTTGCATTGTATCACAAAGAGCTCTGGGCCTCAGAAACCTGGTACCTAGGCCTTACTCTGACACTTCTGTGTCCATAGAAGCTGAGCAAACCACCTAATTCCTCTCTGTCTCAATCTACTCAACCACAAAATGGGAACAAGGAAGAGGAGTCCTTCAGCGTCGGGCAGCTGGCATGGTAAACAGCGTGTGCCCTGCAGTGATGCTGTCTGGGTTCACGTCCTAGCTGCTCCCACTTACTATTATGTAACCTTGAAACTCAGCCTCTGTGCCTCAGTTTCCTCATCACAGTTCATGGGACTGTGAAATAGAAGGCATCAAGTCAAGCTCTCATCACAACGCCTGGCCCTTAGCTCTTCCAGTCACTGTCAGGTAGGCCCACTGCCATCGTGCTGAGTGGGGGCATGCAGGGCCCATTTCCACCACAACTAGGTATTTGCTATAAGAATTAAAGGGCTTTGACTTAAGTGAACTCGTGATTCGTAGAAGCGTTCCAGAAGAACAGGTTCACAGGCCAGGGCTAACTCTGAAGCCAAGAAACATAAAGGGACACGGTAAGGACCTGTCTCCTTGAGCATGACACATTCCAAACACTTCCAGACCACCTTCAACCAATTCCAACAACTTGGTAGTCACTGAATGCATCTGTGGGAAAAGAGCCACAGGCCTTCATCTCCCCTTCTACAGAATTAATTTGCCAGGTCTTCTCTTTCTAGAGACAATTCAGAAAGGCAGCAAAAGGTGATCCCACGTTTTTTTTTCAAGTCCTAAACAATAACTGCTAGACACGAGGTTTCTCACGAGAGGTTACAACATTTAAAAAAGGAATTCAGGGGTGCCTGGGTGGCTGAGTCGGTTGAGCGTCTGACTTCAGCTCAGGTCATGATCTTGCGGTCCGTGAGTTCGAGCCCCGCATCAGGCTCTGTGCTGACAGCTCAGAGCCTGGAGCCTGCTTCGGATTCTGTGTCCCTCTCTTGCTCTGCTCCTCCCCCGCTCATGCTCTGTCTCTCTCTCTCAAGAATAAATAAAACATTTAAAAAAAAAAAAAAAA